ACCTGATTTGCCAGCTCTCTTGTTGGACAAAGAACTAGAACCTGCATAGAAGAAAGACAAAACAAATGTTTTCTCAGCATGGCTTCTGCCAAGAAACCACTAGACTTCTAATCATTTATTTAGATCTGCAAATTTTTTTTTTAATCTATTTTAAATAATTATCTAAGCAAAGGCTGGAGAAACACTGCTTAAGTCTCTTGTAACATCATTAAACTCGTTCAACATATGCTCATTTAGGAAAGGCCAAGTTCCTTTTAAACAGGATAGGATATACTTAAATCTTACTTAACTTTGGTTCCTGAACAGATCAGCTACAAGTTTTCCTCTAAAAGTACATATGCTGTTTGAGTACAAGACTGAAGGATCTGGATAACAAAAGGGTTTTACACCTGCTCAGTAATGCTTCACAATCCTGTGAGAAGGTGTAAGGAAGAGCTACCCTTTGTCTCTCGGCTTCCCTGTGACTCAGGGAAACATATGCTCAGTCTGCAGAGCTGGTGTGCAAATTTGTATCCCTGCAGAAGGAACCAAAGAACCATCCTCTCTTCCAATACAGAGCTTACCTGCAGGCACAACTGAGTTAAACATGTAATTGAAGTGATGCTCTCAAACCTGGCATCACAAAAGGAGTCTTCAAATCCTTATCCTGTTGCCTCTTTCAATAGTAAAGCCCATTATCAAAAAGCAAGCGGTAGTGTATTATGGTAGACTGAGGCCTGGAAGCTTTTTTAAAGCTTATGACTGCCTCAAAGAAAGCCTTTCCTTCTCCAAAGGACTGTCCCAAAGCTAGAGACAGTGTTCTCAACCAATCTGATGGGCAGATGCACATACAACTGCCCCTCAGGTAATCTACGAGATGGCTGACAAGATGAAACAAACTGACAAAAAATATTAACGAGGATATGTGCAACTTTGGTCTATCTAGTTCTTTTGGAGGCATTGTAAGAATTCAGTGAAAAATCATCCATGGGATTCCTTAGCAGAATGAACACAGCTCATAATGAATCTGCACTCTCTGGAGCAGAAGCCTCAACATTTGGTGGTGTTCCTAGTGAAAACTAAATCTATTTATAAAACCTCCCACCGTTTACATGTTTTAGAAAGAGACATGTTTAAGTAGACAGCTTTTATCAAGCTGTCATGTTACAATTAGTAACTAATCTGCTAGCAATTTGGGAAAAAACCAACTATCCAGTAGCTGCTGGCCCTGAACAGGCAACATGACCGAGCAAAATTAAATAGGAACACGTTGAACACCTGTAGTTTTCGTTTCCTTGTGGCAGAAAAAGGAACTGACAAGTGCACCCTGTTCTGGTCTTCACTCTTTATGAGAGGCTGGGAGGCAGCACAGGATGTAGGCAAAGCCCAGCTTTCAAATCATCTTAAATGTGGATTAGCTTAGACCTGAGGAGCTTCTCCAGTGGCTCAAAAACCTGAATCATTCTGATGTAAGACAAAGCAAAATCACCATTCTACCCAGGCACAGTTACCTTTGGTGGACGACCTCTTCTTCTTTCCTGGGACTCTCCCTGAAGCTTTTCAATTAAGGGAATAGCAAAAGAAAATGTTTTGCCTGTTCCAGTTCGTGCTTGAGCAATGACATCTTTGCCAGAATACACTGGGTTGAAGGTCTTCACTTGCACAGGGAAGAGGTACGTCACTCCTCGAGCTGTGACAATTTCAAGAGATTTCCTTAATAAGATCATTTTACAAGTATTCTTTCATACTCAGTGGAAATTATTGTAAGCAGAGCTTCCTTTAACTCTAGTCAGGAATGTACCATCACCTCCAGTGATTTATTTGATCAGATGAATCATCTCCAAAGAGTGCCCTGGGACTGTCCATTTTATTCTTCCACTTCATACCACCAGACACTGCTATTCCCACCAAAATAACCTGCAGTTTAAAAATTCTCACACATCTTTTTTTTTTCTTTGCTTACGTAATTTAGAACTTTATTGCAAAGTCTGAACTGGACAACATTGCAAACAGGAAGGTGTGTGTAAAGGTGTGTTTAGGACAGGTAATCAGTGTCTTCTGCACAGCATCCATGCTTATATACGCACAGCCAGAGCCCATCTCAAAGCTCATTGATCAAGGAAGTTGAGCACAAAAACACACAAGAGAGATCACTGACATTCTATGGTCACATCATGACAAGAAACTTACCTTGGAGAAGCTGGACTGTTTCTTTGGAAATAGAAAAATTGGAGAAAGCACCCTCTTTCTGCTCTGCAGTCAACTCCTGTTAGGGAAACAGCAAATCAGACAAGATTCCACGTGAATATCATGTGCCTGTCAGTAAATTCAAGGTAATCCAAGTAAATCCTGCATAGGCTCTAGTGTCATACTCTTCAGTGAGCATTGCAGTTGCATCTAAAGAACCTTCCTTGTTTTACCATCTTATTTCCAAGTTGGACAAAACTAGCAAAAGTTAGCTTTAGGTTAAAACTGTTTCATATCTAAGAGCATAGTAAATGCAAATCACTCAAACAAAAACTGAAAGCTCTTTAATTAGAATCACAGAATATCGTGAGTTGGAAAGGACCCAGTAGGATTACCAAGACAAACTTCCAGCTGTGCACAGGACAACCCCCAAAATCACACACACCTAATGGTGCTGAATCATATTAGCTCCATCTCAGTGCAACCTGTCTGTCTGGCAACACCTATTACAGCACCACACCGCTGAAGTGTGGAAACCATGATGCACTGATCCAAAACTTCAGGACTTCATAATTAAAAATCCTTGCAAACAAATGGCAAACTAGACAATTCAAGAACTTCAACTCCTGAAAATTTACCACAGTTTCGATTGATTGGGGGGGAAGGAAATGCAATCCATTCGAAATTTGGCCTTGTTACAACACAGGAGCTACAAGCTATAACACATCGCTATAATTAAAACCAGTCGTTAGCTTTACCTGATCTTGCTCACTCTCACTGTCGCTCCCACTTGATGTTTCACTGGAACTACTCTGTCGGCTTCTGCGGGAGGATTTGCTGCTTAAGGAAGACAATCTCGATTTCTCCAGGCTTTCCTCTTTCGTATGACCATTCTGTTTACTGACACTCTTTGACTTTTTGGGCTTCGGGGCAAAACACTCCTCATCCGATTCCTCGCTTTCATCTGTCTGAGTCTTTCCCCTCTGAAACTTGTCCCGGCGTTTAGATTTCTTCTCCTTTTTCTCCTTCTGGCAAGGCACAGAGCAAATGAAAATACACGCTCGTAGATCCAAGCAACACGGAACAGAGAAGAGGGTGCAGAACAGTTAAAGCTTGAAGCGCACGTTCTAGTTACTGACGGGGGCGGTGGCTGGCACAAGGCAACAGATCCCCGCCGGCCGCCGCCGCTCAGGAGACACGTTACAGACCATGAGACAACAGGGCCTTCGTTTTCGGGGCTCTCCCCCGCTCCAGAGTGCCGCGGAAAGCGCTTCCCGGGCTCCCGGCGGCTCCGGCAGGCCCAGCACGTCCGGTGGGGCCGCCCCGACACGCGGCGAGGCCGCGGCCCGGCCCGCCCGCGCACGTGGCCGCTCGGCCCGGGCCGCCCCGCGGTCACTGCCGCGTACACCTCGCCCGGCCCGCGCCACCGGCGGTGCGGGACGGCCGCGATCCGAGGCCGAACCCGCCGGGCGCCAGCCCCAACGTGAAGGCGCGGCCAGGCCGTACCCGGAGCCCTTCCTTGGTACCTTGTGCCGCCGCCGGCCGCTCTCCGGGACCGCCTCGGTGTCCATGGAGCAGTCGGAGCCCGACTCGGCCCCGCTGCTGGTGCTGCACCGGGTGGCCTCGGGCATCTCCGCTCGTCGCCGCCGTTCCGCCGCTCCGCCACGCCGCGCTCCGCACCAGCCGCGCGCTCGCTGCGCGTCACGCTCCGAGCGGCAGAGGCGCTCGGCAGCCAATGGGCGGCCGATCCGGCAGCGCGGAGGCGGGGCCGCGCTGTCCAACAGCCAATCGCCTGTGGCCATCGGCGCGGGACTACAACTCCCGGCGTGCTCCGGGGGACACTGTGACGCCTGCAATCCCCGGCGCTCCCCGCGCGCCGCACGCTGTGAGGGGGCGGCCGCCATGACGGGGCCGCCATGAGGGCTCTGCTCGTTCTGCATCCCCGGACAGGCCCGGCCCGCCGCTCTTACTAGGGCGCCTTCCCCAGAACAGTAGCTTTACAAGCTGGTGACTTTGGCCTCCATAACTACCGCAGAGAATTATTCGGTAGTGAAAAGTCTAAAGTAGGAAAGGGTAGTGTGACCGAATGACTTTAAGATTTAAAAACCACAGACCTGTGGTGATTCGCAGCATGAGCCCAGCACAATCTGCTTGTAGGTACAGGGATAAATCGGGAGAAAGGAGTCAAAATTAGTCTTAGGAAGTAAAATCTGAAGTGATCCTGGCAGCTGCTAGGGTATCGATTCCTTATGGATTGGGAAGAGAGCAGGGCCTCTCCCAAAGTGATGCCACTGGACTTATCTTTTGTCTCCTGTCACCAGAACACTTTCATTTTCAAAGACTAAACCATGCTATTAAACCCAGATACAAACACACCAAGTAGACTGAGGATAGCTGAGAGTGCTGCAGGACTCAGAGACCCTTGGGATTGAAGGAATTTTTGTAGCAACCAGGCGCATGTCTAGTTTATTTGCTTTGTTTTCTGACAGGGAAGGTGAAGCATGCTCTAATTTCTGTGGCACAAGTAGGAAACACTTTCCAGACTTAGTGTAAAACAGTCCTGTCCAACTGCAATTCCTATCAGAGCAACACAAACCCTTTCCAGGTCAATGGCATGGTCTGAATGAAGAATGGCAGTTCTCATTTTTATTATCACAGCGACACACAAAAAATAATTGAAGATGAGGGCAGGCAAAATACAAGTGACCTCTCCAAACACTGTTGTCAAAAGTTTTAGCTAGCAGCTTTGATTTATAGATGGCCCCACTTATGTGACAGACTGCATTTATAGTATACATACCTTGTTACAGGTGGAAAGTTTACAGAGCTCATTAAAAATAATCAAATACTCATGGACAGAGTTAGATGAACTAAGGAATTTTGTTGCAATTGTCCTTTCACTCGTCCTCTTCTTTGCATTGTTATTTATACTCTTAGAATTTGGCAGGAAGCTTCATTTTCTTTTCAGTCCACCTAAAATAATAGAATTATTAGAAGTCAGACTGCACATTCCAAAAATGAATTGAATTGGCTTAGCTTTTAGTGCCACAGATGGCATTAGCACAAACAGTCAAAGTGGCCCTCTGAAATACATTTTGCTAAAGATTTCAAGTGTTCAAGTAATACACAGGAAGAGTGCTTGGAAGAGTGCACAGCCAAGAGCTGCTTAAGGGAAATATTAACAATCAGCAGAATTCCCTTAGAAACTGTAGTTTCTTCTGTCATAAACTGGCTTCACAAGGTGACAATACACATCTAATGAGGACTCCGATGGTTAAATTACACTACTCATTTAAGTTATTAAGAATGTGTTGCTGTTAAAAAAAATTGATGTGATTTTTCCCTCAGCATTTTTAACAGAGGTTGTTGTCAATTTATTTAAGTTTTATTGGTCTTCACATATGCGTAAAAGATTGTTTCATACTAATTTATTTTCCATTAAGGGACTTTCAGGTGTAATTACAGGCAAAATGTACGCTATGAAAGCTCAGGTGATGTACATATTCTCCTGTCTATTGTGAACAAGTCAGATCTTACTTTAAATTTTTGCTGTATCTCTATTCTTTATGTACAACTGGAAAATCTATGACAATATTTAATGTCATATGGTGAGATCTGTGTGAGCTGAACCTGCCTGCTAACAGGAGTTTATCAAACACTGTGTTTCTTAAGATTTCTGCACTTGGCCATTTTCACCTGTAGGACAGAGCTCGTACTGTTTTCTTGCCTTATGAAAACAAATGCAAAATACAAGCAGCAGTATTTGTATACCTGATTTAGGGAGAATGTTCGTGTAAAAAGAGTTAGCAGAACTATATAGGTGGAGTATGTGTGGATGTGGATAACTCTGAAGTTTTAAAAAAGAGTGAGGATTTTGTTGCTGGGGAGGGGCTTTATGATTTACTGCAACCTTTCTGCCTAAATCTGATGGTCAGCTTTAAGATAAGACATTTAACTTAGTTTCCCATATTTTCTTACCTTGGGGAGTCGATTCCACTGTCTCCTGTAATGCTGTGGTTCTCTGTCCCCTCTGAGTGCTTCTGTTCTGGGATCACAGGACATGTTTTCTTACAAAACAGATCTTTTTTTCCTGGAGGGTTTCTCACTTCTTTGATCTGCAAGCCCAAAGCACAGCATGCTACTCCTGCTCCTTCAGCCACCTCATGGGTGAAGTTCTGCAAAGTGTCAGCATCAGAGTCAGCATCATCAGCGTGGCAGAAAGCTGCCACAGCTGAACCCTTCCCACATTCAGTGAGGGCAGTTTCTTCATCCTTTCTGTGACCTTTCAGGAGAACCTGACTATACAACAAACTTTTTTCCGTGAAGTCTGGTTTTGGGTGCTCTTTTGATTCTGCTAAGCTAGCACTTTCAGTATATCCGTGCTCTCCAGAGTTGCATTTATTTACAGTTGTGTTCTGCTGGGCAGGATAAGTACTAACCTTACAGGCTTCTAGGGACACAGCTGCCCCCAGCTTTTGCAGAGCTGTACTCCAGTCTCTCGTGTCTGAAAAGGTGTGGTCAGGAGGCAGGTGGCATGGTGCATGGCCTTCAGAATTGTCACTCAGACATGACAAGTTACAGGTGTCATCATGTCCCTTTTGGTACAGAAGATGGAAGTTTTCAGTAAATCCATTGCTTTTCAGCTTTATTGATCCAGGATAGCTGGCACAGTCATAGTTGAGTATAAGTTCAGTCTTTTTATCAGTCTTTTGTCTGTATTGCACACCATTTTTTTTGACCTGGTTAACACTGGCAGTGTAATTTGAAAGATGGACATTTTGAAATTCATTTGCTGTTTGATCTAACAACTCACATACAGTGTCTGCTTTGCATCTGCAATGCTCATCTTTCAGACATAATGGAAATTTTGCATCTTCTTTGCACACACCACTGTCTTCAATGTAGGAGCAAGGGGATTTTTTCTTCACTGCTCTTCTATAGACATTTTCTTCAGAAATATTACTCTCTAGAAAGTATTTACTTTTATTATCTATTTGCAGGTTACTGTATTGTGGATAACTACCATTTGCACTTAACCTGTCTTTCTTTGGTTGAAGGCCAGACCTATTGGCATGGAGTAAGTTGTTTTGCTTAGCTTTGTCAGCTTCAGTTTCTGCAGCCAGATGTTCAGTTTCACAGTCAAAGGGTCTTGAGGAGGCCAAGGGCTGTAGCCTTTGGAAAGCTCTTCCTTGCTTTTGAGCTCCACGCTTCATCTGACTGTTAACAACACCTTGGTACCCTCTTGCATGAAAACTGCGAGGTCTCCATGGCAGACCCTGGAAAGGATTCTTAATCTGCTTCTTATATATCACATGAGACTCCCCTGCTGTATCAGGTGGCTCTTGCTTTTTGGTGGGCAGTGAAATGTTCTCTTCCAGTTTCACATTTTGTGATGTTAGCTTCTGTATGTGAGATTTCTTGCTACTCCTGCTAATCTGCTCTTTCTTTGATTTGGTTTTCCTGGTGTGTTTTGCTGTTTTACTTAGGACCTTTTGAATACAGTCCTTTGAAAGACAGTTTTCCCTGACTATTGGCACTTCAGCTGAGGTGCCATTAGTGATGTGTTTTTTCTCTTTACTGATATATTTTTTCTGCTCCTCAAACTTCTGCATTAATATTGTGTGTTTAATCAAATTATCAACTGTAAGAGTAGGGTTAATATGCTTGATGATTTCATGTTCAATATCACGTGGAATATTGTCTAAGTCATCTTCATCCCTGACTGGCCACTCTGGGGGAGGAAACTGGGCTGAAAATGTGGAGTACTCCTTGTGTTTTTCGTTTTTAGAACCACTTCTCCAGAAAAGGCCAATGCCAAACCTCCTGCTTTTCAGTTTTGCTTTCACAGATGTCAGGGATTTGATGGTGTCCCAGTAATGCTTCTCAGCAGATGCAGAGATCCCTTGAGTTTGAACTGGAGGCTTCAATTCACTGCAGCTTCTCTTTCCCTCTCCATTAGATTCATGGCTCATTACCTGCCGATGTCTTTGTTCACAGAGCATATTTTGGTCAGGGAAACAATGGCAGGATCTGTAACGGAATGCTGTAGGAATGTTTTCTTTCACTAGGTCTGCACAGGACTTAATGTTTACCAGGTAAGTGATGGAAGGTGATGAACAGCAAAAACTGTCCTCCAACAGGACCCTTCTGTTGTCTTCTGTGGCATCATTTGAGGTAAAGTCTGTGTTGGGAGTCACAATGAAATATCCTTCTCCTGTGTGATAGATTTTTCTTTCCTTAATTAGAGTGCCAAGGATATTATATAAGATATTGTGGGAGGGCACTGCAATGCCTACAACAAAGAGATATTTCAAGTCAGAAAGAAGTTTTCAAGTAAAATGGGTGCTGGCCAAAAAATGTCTCTCATACAACAGTCCTGAAAAGAACTGAACATGAAATACCCAAAGCATTTAGGTAAAGGCATTTGTGTCTCTGGTTGTCACTGCAGCACTGCTGTGAGGAAGCGAGGATGTTCTTTGTTTCTGTCCGGATGTGATATTCATGAGAGAGACCTGCCAGGTTGAAACCAAACAATGTCTTGTTCAAAGCACTTCCCTTCAGGCATGTTATTTAACAGTGACTTTCATCACTCTCTCTGGTCAGATGTGTGGTCAGATGATGCTTTATTACCTCACTGAGACTGGTCTCTGCTACTGGTTTTCCTTCAGGTGTCACAGTTTCAGAGTCCTTGGTCTAGTCACAGCTGATCTCCTGCCCACAGAAATAATGACTTCCACCAAGGTGAAAACATAGCAAGAAATACCTTCAAAACCTTACAAACTTTGAGAGTGCTGCTTCTGGCTGATCTACAAATTCTACCTTGTAATTATCTCAGGGCACTTCTTGACTACAACACGTTTCTGGCATGGTTCAGTGCCAGTTTGTGGGGTTGAATTAATATTTTTCCCACTGGTTAAAATGCCTACCAGATCAGCCTGTAATGTTCACACAGCTGTGAGCCTAAGAGGATTCAAAAGAAGCAGCTCAGTGTCAAACATAGCAGCCTCCTGAGAGGGCCATTATGAACTGTTACATAGTCTCAAACACATTAACACTTCGATATTGCTGATCCAGGGGAAATTGGACATTTTTCAGATGTACAGAAAACATTCAAGGGAAGTGGCTGCCAACCCATCAGAATCACAGAATATTCTGAATTGGAAGGGACCCACAAGGACCATCAAGTCCAACTCTTAAACAAATGGCCCATATGCAGATGGGCATTATTAGCACCATGCTTTAACCAGCTAATCTAGAAGTGAAGGACTAAAGATCATTTAGTGTAAATAATTTGCTTTCGGGAAGGAAAGGGTTAGAATATGACTAACAAACCTGAATTTGGGGCTGGTTTTATTTTTTGACAGCAAATTCCAGATGTCGATTCCTACCCAGTCCCTTTGCAGTCAAAGTCAGCCATGTTCCTGTCTCTTAAAGGAGGATTTAAGAGACACCTCTTGGACCTAAATACCACTTTTATGCTTTCCTACCTTCTAGAAAGGACATACTCTCAACATGCTGCTGCACTCAGTTCCCTCTTATTCTCAAAGAAGATGAATTAGAATCTGTGAGAAGGATTACTTTCAAGTCAGTGTAGTGACACTCACAGATTGATGACAAGTATGCACATTCATGTACTCTACCAGTTGCCTATTAACTTATACTCCTTTACCTTGTAAGTGTTTGGTGATCCCTTGCCCAATATTAGAAACTCAAGCTTGATGACAGAGCCACTTTTTTAAAGGAGGGAGAAACAAACACGTTACCTGGATAATTTTTCACTAACTGCTCAATTAAAATTTCCTGTGTGACCATCACATGATCTGCATTCATGTATGATATGGTCCAGCATATTCCTTCTACCAAAGGAATGGAGCGTGACTGCAAGAAAGGATTCATGAGAGCAGGGGTCACATCACCCAAAAGAAAATAAAATTATTTGACTGGAATAGTGTTTCTTTCTTTTCTATTAAGATTTCCACTGAAAAATTCCCTTATTCTCAGCTAATCTTCTTTGGCAAATTACTTGGAAATATTTCTGAGAGGAGGGAAGCGGTGCTAGCACTTTTCAAGAGCCTTTGTTCTGAAGGCTGCCTTAAGCACGTTAGTTTGTTTCATATAAAATTCCAGCTGAAGCCATAATTTAGATTAATAAACAGGGAGCTGAGAGAATTATTTCTGATGACTGCTTACATGTTAAATCATGCAGAACCTGTATTTCTCCAAGTAGCTTATGGGAAAAGGTTAACAGTCAACAATTTAAGTACAAAATCTTTTCACCAAGTCAGAAAGCAAGGGGAAAAAAAGACAAGTAATAGACTTTGCCCCTTGTCTAGAACATAAAATTGAATTGAAATGGTTGAATTATGGTTTTAGACTGCGCTCTACACCTAGAGATTATTTAGTATTCTGCAAAGAAAGCAAAAACTCTTACTACAACTGCATGCTTTTTTTTTTGGCTACATCAGTGACTGTCCTGGTAAGAGACAAAAACATTGTCCCTGTTCTGCATGACAAAAGCAGAAGTTTGGAGGGATAGAGAATGTGGCCCAGCTTCCGCAGCTTCCCAGCTTGTAACTCTGTAACCCCAGCCCAGAGGGCTGAAAAGGGTCTTAGTCCTTCACCTCAACTCCCCCACCCATAAAACACAGATAAACTCTATCCTCTCCCTTTCCCAAGATGGCAAAGCCAGTAAGGACAAGCCCAGCAAGTACTTCTGACACACTACTAGTGAATGGTGTAGCTGAAATCAGTATTATCCTTGAAGCTGTTGATGACAAAGCACAAAGCAGGGACTCACCTGAGATCTGTGCGCACAGTGAGACAATGACCGCATATACCTTCTCAGACAAAACAAAAAATAACCAACCAAAAGCTCCCAAAAACTTTCTTCTTCTTCTTTTTGTTAAGACTAATGATCTATTCCCATGACCAGGTGATGTTCTGTTCTCCCCTGTTCCTGCTGCACAGAAAGCTCCTGGATATGCTCAGCTGCCAGAGCAGGAAAAAGGGACTCCTGGTTGCTTCACAAGGCATAACACAGTGTTAAATGCTAACAGGAATTTTCCCGCAAATAAAAAAGTGACATTTTAGATTTAGCAATGTTCACGTTTAACTAAACCGCTGTTGTCTATTGGATGACACTGTAACCTAATATTTATCCTCTGGGCAGAAAACTACAACACAAACACTTCTCTAGGTAAATGAAATACACAACATTGCTTTGAAGAGCTTAAGTTGCTCTTGACCTTTGTTTTACAACTGCTGCTAAAATCAACAAAAAGAACTCTGAAAAGAAAATCCTGGCATACAGTTTCCTCAGTGATGTTGCTAGGAAACTCCTTGCAGGTGCAGAAACCATTGCAAGCTTTCTTTTTTTCTATGGGAAAGGCCATCAGCATTCAGTAATGACTAGTGAATAGTTTGCTGTCTGAATTCTCTCTGTGGGTACACCGTGCTGCTGCCAATTTCACCATTTGTTCCTGCAGAGCAGTAAAATACCAAGTGTAATCAAAATGAATTCATTATTCTTATTATCATCTTGCTGTTGTTGTCTGTATCTGTTCTGCAGTCTCAAATCCACTGGTTCCCTTCAGGAAGGGCTGTGTCAGAACATTTAAAACAAAGCATTAAGCAAAACCTGGCTTGATACTGAAGGAATTTAAAAAAAAAATCTAAAATCGTGTTTGAACCTAAGTCTAAAATGATTGTTGCAGATCAATAGTGCACACATGCTAACAACATAAATATTAGATAACATTCTCTCTTGACTTTGAAATAAAATCCAAAATCATGAAAGCAGGAATTAGATCATTGACAAGCACTTTGGGTAAAGATCCAGGCAGCACCCTCCCAGTGTCTATCAAGTTCTTATTAAAAACTTTTTTACAAACTTTGTGATATACTTCCTATAGCTAAACAAGTGTTGTCACCCTTCAAATGTCCTCCCTAGTTTGTTTGAAACACATAAAAGGTGTCTCCCTTAGATTTGCCCATGGAGAAGACTTAAAAATTTGTGCAAACAATGTCTCATAGGCCTGATGCAAAATCACCAGAACACCATGCTCATTAAAGCTCCTCACTATTTGTCCTTTTACAGCTCAAACCCCCACTGCAAAATCCCCTGCCCACTTCCATATAAATCTGATGACAATCATCTTCCTGCTTTCTTCACCATCTTAGGAAGGATTTCCTTACACCTTTGCACAGGGAACCTGTCAGTAGTCAAGGAATTCAACTTCTGCCTTGATGGTTTAAGTACAGCCCCATTCCCTTCCACACTCTGCAGGTCTTGCAGAACCACGTTAACTAAAGCCAATCTCAGCAGTTGCCAGGTACTGTTATCCTTCACTTTGCTTTCCAGGTCCTGTTATCCTTCACTTTGCTTTCCAGGTCTGTTCAAACTCTGCTCATTACCTGGACACCTAAAACCCAAGAATACCCTTTTTGGGGCACTTATCGATTGCAGTGTGGGAAGTCAGCTGTAATATGAGCACTGGGTAACAAAACTCAGCGTACAGAAAAGCCTCTGGGTATTTTTGACTAGCACAAAGTGATTTTTGTTCAGTCTCTGTAATGTGAGCATTATCATTTTTCACTGAGTTTTTTAAGAGTTGCAGAGTTTTTGCATCTTCAGGCTCTTCAGAAAAATTACATACAAGACAAGTTTTATCTGGGTGAAACCCAGGCTAATTCTGCGGAAGTGAACAGAGAGGCATTTATTACAACTGCACTCAATTTACTTCTTAAAAGTTCAGGTAAACTGTTTAGAGAACAATAAAGGCCAGAAATGAATCCATTCAGAAGAAAAAGAACAAAAATATCTGTTGAGGCAGAGAAGACACAGCATGTGGAAACAGAAGATCGATGTTTCTGTTTTGTAGTTAGGAGAATCTATCATGGAATGGATTATACAAAAGATGCCAAAAATCCTGTGCTTCTTTGCATGAGAGCCTTGGCATGTTTGATGTAATTCACTTTTTGCAGAATTATGCCAGGAAGATCATAAGCAAGAGTAGTACTGCTACTAAATGCAGGGCTTCTGCTTTTCTATAGACTGGAGTGCATCATGTTCACATTTTATAGCAAAAGTCACATGGTGTAGAGTTTTAGGGAAAAAATGTTAATAAGAGTATCATAGAAAGTTGGGAACTCTAGCAAAAAACATTTTGAATATTAATGAGTTTACAAGAGGTGTTCTTATTAAAGAATAAAACTTCTAAGTAAATTACAAAGACAGTTAAGATTAGCATTTTCAGTTGTAAGTATATAACAGAGAAACTCTGTTTTGGCACAAATACTATTTTCTGTTTTCAGAAATACCCTTTTACTGAAGCAAAATGTAAATAGTTCAATTACATGAAACTGTCAAATCTTGTAATATGTTTAATCTTTTACTGAAACAGATCAAGCTGTTGTTTGATTATTTTTTACAACTGTCAAAGAAAGAAACAATTAAGCGTCAGTTTAAGGTCACCAACACTTCTTCAGTTGACATCAAAGAAGAAACTACAAAGGCATGAAAATGTCAGATTTCTGTACCTGCTGATTCTGCCAGGACAGACAGTCTCAAATCAGGACAATTAGCAGAGTGGTCGCAATTTGGTCACAATTTCTGGTTTTTACAGTTCCCAACTTTCTATGATTAACTTATTCTTACTAAGTTCTTAATAACTTTTTATTCCTTAAAACTTTTAAAGGAGGATGCCATGCAACTTGATAAGAAATAACCCAAACAAAAAACAACCACTTTTTCTGCCTTCCCAATAACACCCAAAAGCCTATTCCCAAATGCCAGTGTTCTGAAATTTTGGAAATATGACCTCTAAGTGCTTTCTGAGGTTCCTAGCCAAGAGCCATCATCAAATCCTTACTCTAATCTTAGTGTTAATGGCATCCCACAGCCATAATTTCTTTCACCAGTTACTAAAAAACTCCAGAGGCAGATATGGTGAAAACAAAACAAGATTCAGGAAGAACAGAAAAAGCTCTCTCCTGCAACCTCTGCCCAAGTGTCTGGACAGGAACCAGTCACACAACAGACACCAGCACACTCAGTGTGGTACAGTTTTTCCTAAACTGAGCACAGTGGGTAAGATTTTGCCATTGAAATGTGTATCTCTAACCTTCAAAGAAATGAATCCTCTCAACTCTTAGCAAGGCCACTGACACGTCCACTTGGATGCTCCAAGAGTAACTTGGGACCAGCTTTCAATCTCCAAAGGCACTGCCTGAACAGATGGACAAGAAGCAGCTTCAAATCCACTGTTCAAGAGAGCACAGCCCCAGGTGACCAGAGAACCCACAGCTGGCAGAATAGCCAACAAGCAAAACTGTAGAAGCACATCTATTTTGGGGACATTAACTGCATAACTGGCAGAAAAATTCAACTATGAGCAACAGCACTGCAGATAATTGTTTTTCATCGTATACTGGAGCATGCTGATAGCTTTTAAGCCAATTCATGTATGCATTGAACACACAGCACAGCTGAGAGCAAAGCTCATGTTTAACCATTTCAGCATTCAGTGTCAGGCTTGATCATAAAGAGAGATTGAATCAAAAGGTTCATTGCAAGAAGATAAAAAAGTAACACAGAATTAAACAGTCCCAAGCAAGTTGCAAAACAACCACCAAGAAGCCAAACAACAGAACAGGAATAAACAAGCCACTGGCAATGTCTCTGGCTCCTTTAATTGTCCCGAGGTGCTGCCATCCACTGCTACAGGAATTTGACACAAGTACAGCTTTTCCACTTGGCCTCATGTAAAAAATCCCCTTTGCAACCCTGGCATTTCTCCACTAAAACTGCTTTGCCTTTTCCTTGCTTCCAGCTGTGCTCTCTCTTCTGCAATAAATCTCAGACATTCAAACAGCTCTTTAATGCACAAACCTTTGTTCTGAGCAGCAAGCAGTAATGGGGGTTGGTTAGGTACTTACCTGTACTGTGATTTAGTATAAAAGCAGGATGAAGTTGTGCATTCCTGTGCTTGTAGAGCTAAAAGTCAGCACCAACTGCTGCACTATCCCAGCTGCTTCCTTCCCCTGGAAGGGTGCTATCACAGAAAAGGCAGCCACAAAACATATACAGCAAAATGCTTGGAAGTAGGATACACCTATGGTCGTTTCCCCTCCACAGAATAAGCCAAAATTCACTTTGCACATTCCATGACTTCAGCTTACATACACTGCTAAGGGAACTCACGTACTCCGCTTTCAGAGGAGAACACCCACAGAGCTGCTCAAAAGAGAACATAGCTCCCTGCAGAGGTTTTCCAGCAAATTATGGATCAGAGGGACAGAGCTCCTGACAGCTCACAGAGTCCAGGCTAACGGGCAGGTAGGGCAGAGAAAGTTTTCTCTGAGAGATTCCCCCTGTGAACGCTCTCTTTTGCTGCATCTTTCCAGCCTGCAAGCAGGGACAGGGCTGGCATTCTGGGAAAGCCTCCTGGTCAGAGAAGCTCCTCTGGGTGAGTTCTCGCTTTTTGCGCTCTTGGAGCCTGAATGCAGCTTAGAGAAAAGCTTTTCTTCTAGAGATTTCTTCTGTGAAAGCTCTCTTTTCCTGCGTTTTGCCAGCCTAAATGTAGGAACACTTCTCCTACTTTAGGATAGCCTTCTATTCAGGTCAATCTTTCTGTGTGAGATATTTCTTCTTGCAGTATGCGAGCCTTAAAACAAGATAAGGATGAGGTCCCTCAAAGAAAGTTTCTCTTGGAGCAATTTTTCTTTTGAAAGCTCTCTTTTCAGACATTTTGCCAACCTAAAGGCAAGAAACAGGGCTGGCTTTTCAGCAAAGCCATCTTTTCATGCGAGTCTTTGTGCTACTTCAGGACTGCCTTCTATTCAGGTGAATCTTTCTATGCATTTTCTCTCTTCTCGCAGTATGTGAACCCTAAAACAAGACAACGGGGAGGTACCTCAGGAAAAGTTTATCTTGGAGAGGTTGGTCCTGTGAAAGCTCTTTTTCCTGCATTTTGCCAGCCTGAAAGGAGGAACAGGGCTGGCATTCAGGAAATCCTTCTTTTCAGGTGATTCTTCTGTATGTGATCTTGCTTCTCGCATTATACGAGTCCTAGAACAAGATGGGGGGGTACCTTAAAAAAAGCATTTCTTTAAGAGATTCCTCCCTTGAAAGCTCTCCTTTAATGCGTGCTACCAGCCTAAAAGCAGGAACAGTTCTGCTACTTGAGGAAAGCCTTCTATTCAGGTGTTTCTTCCTTTGGGAGATCTAGCTTATAGCAGCACGTATGCCTGAAAGCTTTGATGGGGACTCCCTTCTGTGGCAGCTCTCTCTTCTGGCATTTTGTGCCTTTCCTTGGGAAGCAAAGGACACAGTACCAGTGTAGGTGGAGCAGATGTTGAGGTACCATGGGGAGGTGTAGTCCAGCAAGACATTTCTGTCTTGGCCCTTTCTGTGTAGGAGCAATTGTTGGACATATTCAATACTAGGGCAGGGATCAGTGCCTGGATGTTTTGTACTTTGGAGGACGGGATTTCATTTCTTTTGAGGTGAGCTTGGAGTTCCTCTGGTTGGCGAAGAAAGCAATTTTGGATCCTCACATTGGGTGGTCTTAGTGAATTTAAAAGCTTTTCTCAGTAGGCAGTTCTGTGAGATACAATTGTGCAACTGTCCATGGGAATGCAAATGCCAGGCTCTAGAGCTTTTTGTCCTGGTCTGTTTAGTGTGTGAGTTGTCCCTGGTGTGCTTCTGACTGGATGCTGTGTCTGTGAGACTGAAGGCTTAGGATGGTAAGAGAGCTGAGAAGGAAAGTGTTGATAGCAGGGTGTATGTTGGTATTTCGATGGGTGCAGTAGAAGCTTAGACAGCAAGAGGTTTCTCAGCTGGCACTTTTGTTAGCTCTGTTCTTGCCAGATGTTTTCAAATTTGCTGGGGGAACTCTGCGAGAGTGAAAGGATTTGTAAGAGCGAAAGAGTTCGTGTTGCCGTTTAAGTGTAGTGCAAATCAGTGTTTGGAGTTGGAAGAGGAAGATCAGGGCAATCTTTTTGTCCTGACACAGCTGGGCTCGGGTCTTTTCGTTCTTTTGCGAGTCGACATCGCCATCGTGTGATAATTTTGATGAGCGCAGTCAATGCCCCGGTAAAAGCGGAGCGCTTTTCTGGCCCGGCCCCGTTCGTGTGTGAGCAGTTCGTGCAAAAACTCCGTGGTGCATCCTGGCTCTTGGACACTGACAGAATGGGATCCTGCATCTAGCAGGGAAGGAAAAAGAATCGTTTCATTGCTGTCTCTGCAGTTTATTGGCTACAAAAGAAAAGGCAATTCCCACATGGTCTCTTTACTTGCACCCACTGAATTGCATCAAACTCCCTGCACACATGCACTTTCCCTCAAGTTCTATGTACCATTTTACCCTCTCACTCTGGTAGATCCCAAACCCCTTCAAAACATCTACCAGCTGCTCACAAACAAAAACCCAGAGTTGGCCTTCATAGTCCCTTTGCAGTGTCTGAACTTGATGAAACACACTAGTGATTCACACTTTCCTTCTAAACCGTAAGCATCATAGCATCCCCACGTTCTCTCAGTGTTTACACAGTTCATCACTAAAGTGATGTGGTTCCAGCTGCAGTTCACACTGAGATGTGCCCTGACAGAAAGCATTCCCTGACCTTCCTCCTTCCCTGTGAAAGCTGATTTTTGCACCTTCAGTGTTCTATAGTGCAAGCAGCTATACCTCCCAGAGAAACTGTTGTCAGGACAGAAACCTTCCTAAAATAGCCCCTTCTCCTAGCAGCATTTAAATTGCCCACAGCATACTGAGAAAACCCTCCTTTCCCAGATATATATGTGCCATCACAGGTTTCGTGGAGCGCCGTGGCAAACAGTCCAGCAGCTGCTCCCATCAAAGCAAGCAGCTGCAGAAGGTTTATAAAAAATTGTCTAAGAAAGGGCAGGGGTTTGATATTTGGGGTATTTTGATCCCTGGAGAGTCACTCATGGATGTTAGAGGTGGCTCTGAAGTGATAGTTCAGCTTGAAATACTTCCTGAGGAAGCTTCCTGCTTTGACACAAAGGGAAAGTCTTTGAACACGCCAAACAAGATGCAGCCATTTTCCCAGAATTCCATAAACTGGCATTGGATGTGTTTATCATGGGCTGTTTTTGTCCTGTTCCCTGCAGCTGGCTCAGGTGAGTGCCCAACACAACTTTCCAGCTGAGCCTTCACTGGGTTTCGCTGCAGTGACTCCTCTGGGAGGCAGGGTAGAGCTTACCAGATATTGGGAATCCTTGATTTCCATCCTTCCCAGCTTCTCCTACCATCCCACCCACTTTCCCTGCGAATTTTTTTCTTTTCTTAGGGACAGATATTCATCCCGACCCAAACTGTTCCATGATTCTGTGTTGTTTCCCATGGAGCACTCAGGTGAAGGCATGCCACAATCCAGGAGTAAATAATTCCCAGGCCCCTCCCTCTAGATCCAGAAAATGGAAATCCTGCTGGGAAGGAAGCACAGGAATCAAGGGGACAGATCCTGCAGCAGCAGCAGATGGGAGGTTTGCACTGGATAAATTTCAGGAGCTTTGCTGTCTGGTCTGTTCCATTTATCCTCTTTTCCTTTCACAACAGCATGTTAGTTTGAAGACTGCCAGGTTTTTGGGAAGGCTGAAAAGTTATGTCAGGACCAGAGCTGCTGCTGAAATCCTTGTGACCTCCCAGTTTGCTTTGCCCCCTGCTACCCCAAGCTCCTTTGGCACAAGGAGCTCTTCAGCTGCCTTCCCCTCCCAGCAGAGTGGGAATGGTGCTCTGGATGTGATGGGAGCTGCACTTTGTTCCTGATGGAGCCTCCTTCCTGCCCCCATTTTTAACCAGGGTTTCTGCCCTCCATTTCCCAGGAAGATGTGTTTTATCCAGTGCTCTCTGCCCATTCCCAGCTGGAAAAGAATGGGTGGGTGTCTGTGGAAGGGCAGGAATGGAGAAAATCCCCTCCAGGCACAGCAGGCAGGGCTGTTGTGCCAGCCTGGGCTGGCATTTGGCATCCTGGTCGCTTCATGAGCCTGGCTTGTACCATGCCCAGCCTGGCACCCTCTGTGCCCCCATCCCCAATCCTGCCTCTCCCACTCCTCCTCACCCTTTTGGGGCAAAGGAAGGAGAAGCAGTGGCTGAGCCAGGAATGAGAGCCTTGGGATCAGTGCTCCCCTCCCTGTGCTTCCCCTGGCCTTAAAAATCCCTCCCACCCCTGCTGTCCACCTTCAAGCTCTGTGCCCTGATATCTCTCCAGAATCTCCCTCCTTCAGTTACCATTTTTAAAATGCATTTCCAGCCTGCAAGGCCAAAATGTGCAACAGTAAATGAAACTGGTGGGAGGGACAAATATTTATGACTCTTGGCTTGATGATAGAGTAAAGCTTTGAGTTTATCCTTTGTGTTCCTCATTTAAGCCATGATGATTAATCAACACTGGCCATTTTGTTCGCCCCTCTCCCCAGGACTAGCTCAATATAATGCTAAATCCAAGCAAAACCTGCTCAATATTTGGTATCTTTAAAACCTGCACTTTGCTTTTTCATTGAAAGAGCCTCTCAGCTGCATTTCTGAGATAGCAACTTGGAATAAAGCAGCTCTTTGGGAATTCTGGGAAAGCGATGCTGTCTAGGTCTGATGTCTGGGGTGTAATACATAAAAAAATAATCATCTTTCTACTTGGGCACAATTAATCAGATTACATAATGACCTTGATGCCATTTCCCTCTGTGACCTTTATTGAGGAAAGAAGAAATTCTTCCTCTGATGCTAAAAATAACCACAAGAGAGTTTTGCTAAACTTTGCTGTTATCATTCTCCCTAAACTCTTGAAACAAAACTCGGCCTCCCTCCAGCATCACAGCCTTCAGTTCTGCATCATTCTCTGGAAGCATCCCATCCCTGATCCCCAAAATTCTCCCCCAGAACCCTGGCTGGATTTCTGTGGCGTTCCCAGGAACACTTGTCCTGGGAATAGCTCTGTGTCTGCTCTCAAATTCTACTTAGTTGGGTACCATGTCAACAACCTTCTGGGAGCAGAGGACACAATCTGGAGTGTTGTGTACTAAAAAGGGTAAATTTTAGCTTTGTTGCCCTTAAAAGGCAGTGTTTGCTAGTCTTTAGGTATTTCAGCAGAGCTTTGAAGGCAAAGAGAAAAATTTTCAACAGTTTCATGCAGGACTTTGTCCTTGCTTAGGACAGCTGTGAAAAGACACTGCAGAGACACTTCCCTTCCCTGAATCCATGTGGGAATGCAGCCAAAACAATATCCCAGCTGTTTTCCCCTCCAGGCAAAGCTTCCAGGACTTCCGGGAAGCCAAATATTGGTTAAACCCCACAGATCTGTGCAGAGCACAGCAACTTCACAGGGAATCCCACTGCCAGAGGGCAGGGACAGATGGGATCTTGGTCAGGAATTGTTCCCTGGGAGGGTGGGCAGGCCCTGGCACAGGGTGCCCAGAGAAGCTGTGGCTGCCCCTGGATCCCTGGAAGCATCCAATGTCGTGTGGGAGCCACTTTTTGCAGGGTTTTTGCTGATGCTGGGTGATTTGTGAAAGGATCAGTAAATTGTGTCTTATAAAGAGCCAGAAAGATCAGGAGCATTCCAGCTCTCTGAGCTGATGCCACCTTGAAAGCCTTGGAATTTTCTGCTACAGGTGAATTACATGATTCTGCACCTGTTGCTGCTACAGTTTTGATCCCGTTCCAGCTTTAACCTGGGATCAGCTGGGCTCACTCAGTCCAAATAGGGGAATCACCGACACTGCTTTCTTCCAGAAATAAGGAAAAAAGCAAAACTCCTCAGCTAACAGGCAGCTGAGAGCCAACTGTCTCCAAAATTCACCTGATAAACTGCAGGGCTTCGGGCTTAGCAAAGTGTGAGGTTTATCAGTGCTCTGTAATAAATGCATGTCCTGCCCAGACTATGAACAGTGATAACTTAGCAATATGGAATCATGGAATAACTTCCATTGGAATGGCACTTAAATCCCATCCTGTGCCACCCTCTGCCATAAGCAGGGACACCTCCCACTGTCCCAGGCTGCTCCCAGCCCCAATGTCCAGCCTGGCCTTGGGCACTGCCAGGGATCCAGGGGCAGCCACAGCTTCTCTGGGCACCCTGTGCCAGGGCCTGCCCACCCTCCCAGGGAACAATTCCTGCCCAATATCCCATCCATCCCTGCCCTCTGGCAGTGGGAAGCCATTCCCTGTGTCCTGTCCCTCCATCCCTTGTCCCCAGTCCCTCTCTGTGTTTCCTGTCATCTCCTTCAGGTCCTGCAAGGCCACAGTGAGGTCACCCCAGAGCTTCTCCTGTCCAGGCTGAACAATCCCAGCTCTCCCAGCCCTTCCCTCCCAGCAGAGCTGCTCCATCCCTCTGACCATCCTGGAGCCTCCTCTGGGCTCTCTCCAGCAGCTCCAGGTCCCTCCTGTGCTGGGTACAGGGGCAGCTCTGCAGTGGGGTCTCACCTGAGCACAGGGACAGAACCCCTCTCCCCTGCTGCCCACGCTGGGGCTCAGCCCAGGGCACGGGGGGTTCTGGGTCTGAGCTCCCACCCACAGCACCCCCAGCTCCTTCTCCCAGGGCTGCTCCAGCTGCTCATCCCCAGCCTGGATCCATCCCAGGGGTTGCCCCAACACAGCACCAGCACCTGGCCTGGTTAAACTCACTGAGATTCCCAAAGGCCACTTCTTGTCCAGGTTCCTCTCAGTGGCTCCATCCTTCAGGAGAGTTTTAAAGCCACCGTTTCTGCAGCAGCATTTGAGGGGTCAGCTAGGGTGAGCAGGAGAACCAGGTGAGAATCATTTGTCTCCATCCACCAGCTGGAAATGATTCCTAATTTTAACCTTCCCCGTTAGACCTGGCATTTACTGCAGGAAACTGCAGGAAAATGGAGCAGCCACTTCCCAGCCACTGAGAGCATCACACAGAAGGAACTGGGGGATAACCACCACTATGGCTATCACCCACTGGAGACCCTTGTAAATACCAAACTGTGTTCCCTTGGCATGTGTGACACCTCCCAGGAAGGAATTCCATGGCTATGATTGGCCCAACTCAGCCCATTCCCACTGGGTGTTT